AAGCAGAAATAACTTCGCGTTGGATATTGCGAACCACTTGGTGGGTCCTTTAACTTGCATGATATTTTTGACGGCAGTGTTTTAAGCATGTAATTTGCACTCTAAACATCTTACGGGAATTTTTAAGCATTTGTTATTTTTACTTATCGCCAACTATTGTCTATTGCTTCCCTATGTAGAACAGTCTCGAAGTGCGTACATGCCTGCTGGACCAGCTGCTGGCCTACCAGATGTAAAGCAAATTGGGTGGGTTTGCAGCCACCTCCTGCAACAAAACGACAGGCAGCCGGAGATAGTATCCGGCTATAAGAATGACGGAAACTTCCCCTACAAAAATGGAATCTGCAGCATATCTTCATGCCTATACGTTTCTCACGGGGTACCTGCAACACTGTGTGGGTTTAGGATGAACCAACAGCAGGGTGGTAAAAGTGCGCGTAAGATTTTTGTAGATAGTTTAATTATGTAGAGATTTACGTCTGAATTAGTTCCTTCCGTCTTACATAAGACGTTCAATAAAAACTGTTTAGTCAGGGAATTTTAAAATGTATTCTGAACATCCGCAAAACTTTTCTGAGAAATTCGGTAGGGTAGCGGTAAATACATCGGCCTGTGGCTAAGAAACCACGTGATATGCACCAACATGTTCTATACAGGAGTGGGACTATTCCTGGCATATAGTGTTTTGATTATGTGGCAGTGGAAGCAATCATAAAGGCACGACCAATTAGTAGTTTCCGTATGTAACGAATCGACAATTTTTGCGTCGGCTAAAAGCAAAGCAGTACAAGTGGTTTTAACATGTACATTGCAAAGGTGAATTTATATATATATATATATATATATATATATATATATATATATATATATATATATATATATATATATATATATATATATATACTATTCCGTGTTTGAGCGATTAACCCAGTTCGGTTGTGTTTCATACTTATAGTTTTCGTTTCTAGCCTAGCAGCAAGTAGATGATTTCAGTGGTGATCTCCGCCATCCCAGTTTCTATTCGGATGGTCGTTAACTGGTATTTAGTTCCACTCATGGCTTAAATTATCTCAATCCGGCAATATTTTTCCAAAACAAACAAGGCCGACAATGACGACATGAAATCTATTGCACGAGACAATCAAATTGTAAAGGAGTAATGACAGAACAATTTCGCATATATTTTGACATCATTGTACGGTGCAAGCGGTTAAGTTGCAACAGCTTATAAGATAACTTGTGCCGCTTTCATAAACATAAGATGAAAAATAACCTATTCGTTCTCCCTTTGATGTTTTAAAGTGCTAGGAATACTACCTCGTATTATAGCGTAAATTTGTATTAGAAGTAAACTATCATATTGCTAGTATCGAGCTGGAGGGGATCAGTCTGCAACAATGTGCGATTGGCCACCTAAACTCAAACTAGCCTTCAAGAATGATCATGAGTCAATGTTATTGGGTAGACAGCATATTCTGCTGCGCCTGTAAGTTGTTGATCCTGGTAAAACTGTATTGCATTATAAAATTTTAGCTGTCAATTTCCAACAGAGAAAATTAGTGTTCGGCTGGTTGCGCTAGGAGTCTTGTATGTGGGTCGCAGTAAATGGACATGATGAATTTTCAGTTGTGCACTCGTCATCTTTATAAAACAAACTCGTCTCAACCCAAAGGTCAGTGTGCGGCATTCATAGGAACTCGAACAACACCGGAAATTCTGTGGCTTGCCCACAAGTGGCACATTTACTCTCTGTTTTTTACAGCACAACACAAGTTCACTCACAGTATCCGGGTTCAAATGTATTTATCTCCTCCTCTAGATAAAATTGATTACTGCTGTAATTAAAGATGATGTATATAAGTTCAGTTGTTGAAAAAGAACAATAAACTCTCAAATGGCGTTTAGGGCAAAAGCAGAAACTGCTGCTTCCTCAGCCCGCGTCCATAGCGTTAAAACATCCCCGCGAAATGCTGCACAGGTCACGCAATGAAGCCCCAAGTCGCACACATCAGTTATTATGCCACTGACTAGAGGTCTCTTTCTGAGTTGGATTAACGAAACAGCTATACTGAATCAATCAGGCAGAGCTGCAATTGTGGTCAACTGGTACACTTTTTGGCGGATTCCGGCTGCAGTCTTGCCGGCACTAACGAGCGTACCAATGGTCCAAGCAATAACCTAGAGTTATACATGATTTCGAAATGTATGTCCCCAAACACACATTGTGATATTTAATGAGTTTAAGTCGATCATATTAGGAGGCAGAAATCATCCTGCATGAAGTAATTAACGCAGCCAATAGGATATTTTTGTTGTGCAGACTCGGCTTTGATAACATACTTGTCACCAATACAGATGTAAATTGGGTGTTGCCCGCGCAAAACACTGCACTTCAATTTGAATTTCGGATCACATTGAGATTACGCGTCGCATTCCGATCGCACGTGTAATCCAAAATTGACACCCCAATTAGTCTCTTACCATTGTGCCAAGCTTTGCCCGCCGTGACCCGATAGCCAAAGCTTAGGGGTTACGGCTACCATTCCAATGATCGCGGGTTCAAGGCCTGTTATTTCCACCTTATGAGATTAAATGACATCGAAAAGCGTCGTGGTTGTGCAGTGATTTCGGGCGAGCAACACCCAATTTCCATTTGCTTTGACTACGATCCCAGTGATCTCATTGTCCAAGGTTCACTTCAAAGTGAATCGCGGTTCATATTAGATTGCGCGTAGCAATCCAATCGCATAACCTTTAGTCCAAAAATGACAACCAATGGTTCACACGATGTAGATATCACTTACGAGGCTTACTTGACAACGAGTGTGGATTCTAAGGACTTCATATCGGTAGTTTGGTCCCTCCGTCTGTTTGTCATGCTTCTCGATACTTATCAACGTCAGTGAGATGCAGATGGCATATATATCTTTAGAAAATTTGAGGGCCCAAATCACAGCACTGAAGCTATCCGTTAATGCATTGCGTAATACAAGTGTGAAGCACATAGGTGTGCTCTGATGCTGCGTTTTGAAGTCGGTGACCAACACGGATAGGCCACACAGAAACCGACTTAACATGCATTGGATGCGCAAACGCAGCTTCCACACTTGTTCCCAAGCGATCGCTACTGGTGTATTCCCTTCAATTGTAAGACCATTGCTGGAGTACGGCTAACCGGAGTATTGGCTAATCATCCGTGGTTAGGTGTCGAGACTTCAACTTGCTCAGCATATGGCTACCCAGTCCGTTCGTTGAGGCCCTCTTTGTGGACAGTAACTTTCGTAAGAGAATTATTTATATATGGAACTTTGCGCAGCCGAACTATCTTGATGGTGCGTAATAATAAATGACGTTAATTCACTTGTGTGCCTAATTTTATATCGATGAATCCGCAAAGGTCGTTTTGTACTAGACTAGTCAACTTCAGCATTTATCATTCAAGTCAAACAAGTTGAAACTTTAGTGACACCACAACGCATACTTCACTGCACCAGGTTAGTTGAAGAGAACTAACGATGCGTTAAAAGAGTAGCCGTTTCAACATGCATTTTTCCTGCACTTCGATTGAGCTTGGCACATTCAACAACTTTGTAAAGTCTAACAGACAATGGTTTCGGTGGGCGTAAACATTTCAGCTTCAGTTGCCGCGTTATTTACTTAATTATATAAAAGAATTGAAACACTCTTTTCCTTGGTAAAATTACTATTAATTCAAACTGATAACTCCACAAGATTTTTTACCCTACACAGGTATTATATTCAATCTTTTCTGATATCATCCTCCTTAATAGCCCAGTAAACAGTGACACAGTATTTGTTTGGGTGTTTCTTTTGGATAACTCGAAACATAACTGTGGGGACCAAATGCAACTGATGTAACTATTATTAAGCTACCCGAAAATAACAGTATACATTGATCAACCTTACTAATGTAAGGATTAACTTAAATAAAATTTGTTTTGATACTCTTAAAAAGCAATAAGAATTTTCTTTCCTTCAACAAAATTTGAGGAAATTAAAATATGCCTGGCTCACACTGGGGCACACAAGCCGAGAATCAACCGTATGATTCAGCACCTAAAAGTTGATATTTTGGCTGTTCTCAATCAGTGTTCCATGTGTACCTAAAGGCACTTACTCTTTCACACCTGCTTTCCCTCCGTTCATCATAACTGCGACGGCGTCTCCATTTGGTATAGCAAGTGTATCACCAGGGGTATGTATCTCCTGCAAACGGAAGCACACAAATCAACTTTTCCACCTGAGACACTAATAGCATACTAGTATCTGCATTAACACAAATTACATAAAAAGGCGGTGAATAAAATCGTAACTCCAAATCCGTTTGATCAGCTTCGTTTCCTATTAAGCTTGAAGAAACTTGGAGAAACTAGCATTCGCGAGCTTTACGCATGTTTTTAACAGAAAACTGTAATATATCAATATGCGTTGGATGAAGGGGCGCTTATCCATCGAAATCAAATTATACTTTTATACTTTTGCAACGAACTATATCCTGAAACAACAAGAGAATCATAGAGAAACTTATGAGGAATTCTGTAACACAGACAAAAAGCTGTGTCGCGTAACTGGAATCCGTGGAAGTATTTGTTGACAGGGCCAACGTGACAGGAATTACAGTTTATACGCTGCTTAGATATTTACCTTTCAGTTTTCGTTGACAGAAGTATACTAGCTAAGTTACCAAAATTTAAGTAGTGATATGGAAGGTGGAGCAGCCTCTTCACTCTATCTCAAAACTCCAAATCTTGGTGTGGTCTGGAAACACCCAGAAAGAACTTGTCCATGGCTGAAGTCCTACAATATTGGGACTAGTGCATATGCTCTCCACAGTCTACTTTCCTTAAACAAACGGAGGTTTTATGCTATCTGTTTGCAATCGGTCAGAAGTGTTCTTTATTCTTTCATTTCATTATTGGCCATGGTATACGAAACACCACCTACTGGCTGTCAGAATAATTTACCTGTTTACAACGCAAAGATTTTACTGGATCGTAGCATGATAAATTTGACGGTATAAATGACTTGTTTAAACCGATCTCAGGTTCAAAGCAAATACTGCCTCTATGTTAATGCGAGGTTTCTATCCGAATCATACAAACATTAATGGGTAATTCAAAATGTTCCACAGAGTTTGAACCACGGTGTGCTCATCACTACAAAGCACCAAGTAATTACACACTGCAACAAAAATTTATTTCATTTAAAGGAAATGCCAATGTTCCTACCTCATGGAATACACTCCACTTGACTGTAGAAATGTATTCCGAATTTGCATAGCCCGTTAGGTTACATTATTATAAACGAACGATTATTTTCTGTAATGTAAAGGCTGGGTCGTACCAATTGTATGTAAATGTAGTGAATCACGACAAATACAGTATGTAACTATGTGGAAAACATCACTGCAACGCTCGCGGCTTTGTAAGGACTACAGCTTTGCACAGGGAAATGATGACTTCGCCGCCATCATCAAGCATCTGATACAACGACCTCACGCTGCAGAAACCAGCAAAATCCACCCACCACAGACGGTGTGTAATTGCCAATGTAACCCTGCTCCATGATTGAAATGTCCGGGTGAAAGTGGTCAACTTCTTCATCGCTAATAGATTCCATACTCTCAGGGTAAGTCAAGGTGATTATGCAAAACGTGCATCTTAAGTAATATTCGAGCACTAGCAGACAGCAAGTCCGCAATGAGCGTGTTGTGCTTTTTTGTAGTTCTCTGCCATTTTCTTCCCAAAATTCCTGTACATACTGCCTTGAATGATCGAAACGCTTCTGGTTCAGATGAAGTCAAATGGCATTCAAAACACTGTCAGCTATTATCTCTCGAATATCAGGCACAATAAGTATCCCTTCATACGACTCGCGTCACTGCTCTTCGGAAACATGTTACTTGAATGTAAATCCATTCCACTTGAGACACTGAATAAATTTTTGATCAAACCAAGGTTGATGTGCAGGGATGATAGATAGATACGATCATGTTGCACAAGGAATGTAGGCTTTCCACTCATCTTCCCCGCAGCATACTCAACTCCTCTGACCACCATTCAATTGTGTAGTGCGTTGGCTTGCTCTACTAACATATAAGCACAAGAAACAGTAATATTTTGTGAAGCCGCCTTGCATACATATTAAGTGTCCAATAACTTTGTTGTCAGCACAAATGTTCCAGTAGTATTTCTCATAGTTGAGTACTTTCGTAACTCGCCTTCACATTTTTGGCATGCAACAAAGCACAGTCGGACACATTTTCATTGTGCAGCAGTATGGCTTCAGGAATACTCTTGGTCGAGTCAATGGACAAATGTCTTTCATCATTGATTTGCCTCCCTCTAATTCGCCTGCATTAGCCCTTTCATGTCGAAAGGATAACAAAAGTTTTCTCTCTTGTCATAGTAACCGGACAATTTAACCATTCGCTGTCTGTATACAGTAGCTATGGTTTATGCGGCAAGTAAGTGCCACAGCCACAGCCGAGATGCCAACCACTAGGCCTTGTCTTTAGGCAAATCTTGATCAATTAACAAGTTATCCAGCTCTGGTTGTTCATCAACATGTGGGTTGACAACATTTGCTTTAAAGATTTTACAGATGTCCGAATCAGGGGCAGTTGAAGAAGCGGGATCTCTACTCACCATCAGTGAAATGTTCGCTGGAGGCACTGGAATGGGTAAAGAGCAATCAGGAAGAACAGATCGTATAGCAGATGGAAGATCAGGATAATGTATTGTGTGCCTCGTTCGGTTGGAGATTACAACGACACTTATTAGGCAGAAGAATGCTTCTGTCGTTCGATCTTTCGGATCCTTTTAAACCAAAGGGATTACAAAAGGGAACCTTAACTTTGACGTTTAACCAACGAGTCAGATGAAGATTGCATGACACAAAAAATTATTGTGCCCACTTATTATGTTGATCTCCTAGTTTTGCTTCGAAATATGCATGGTAGGCAGACTGTAGTAGTGAACTAATTGATCTGCACTGCAATTTTCTAGTAAATTGTTCATAGACGTAACAAAAATTAATTCGGTCATTGACACAGCATCGTCTTACAGCCATGCTCACGATATCAATGAAGGAAACACGTCTCTCAATCGGCTTTCATTATCAGGTGAATACCAAGAACAAAAACTTTCTTTTCCACGATTACAGGGAGCAAATGGACGAATCACAAGCGAGCCTACGATGCATGGATCGTAATGCTTAGCTGAAAGGAAAAGCTTGGCCCGTATATGCCAGTCCTGTAGAAACCCATATTCTTCGGTAGTGAACATCAAACACGTTGCTATTGAACCAAAGGAATACATATGTAACACAATTAACCCAAGTACGAAACCGCCATGTCGCGTGCATCTATGTGTGAGCCAGGTCCCGATGCATTTCGAAATTGACACGGGCAGTGCAGTAACGCTTCGCAACGAAAGAAAGTCATTACGGAAATTAGCTCCAACAAGCACACCAAACTGTGTCAGGCGCCTCTGCGATTGCGTACCTATATCGATGGTGAAGTGAAACTGCTAGAGGTGCAAGACGTTAATTTGTCATATGGAGGATCGACAACCTGAGGAACCAGTTACCTCGCAGTCAGCGATGGTCCAAATCTACTGGGTCGCGACTGGATCAGTCAGCTGCAACTGCTGCAGTTAAACGATCTTTCTTTACCGTCGAAGATACAAACAATGTTACAGCAATACGCACCAGTATTCGAGTCGGCGGTGGGTGGAAAATTCACCGGGGGACAATTTAGTATCTACATGGCACCTGGCAAACAACCGCGATTAATCTGGGCAAGATCGCTGCCGTATATAATACGATCGAAAAGAGGAACTTGATCGCCTGCATAAGTGCGGCGTCATATAGCCAGTACAGTTTTCGGATTGGGCTACACCACTTGTTCCGGTACTAATGTCTGATGGATCGAGTCGGATATGTGGGGACTACAAAATTAATGGTAATTGTGGTATTCCGGCTGAAAAATACCTCATCCCGTAAACTGAGGACGTTTACGTGCAACTCGGTAACAGCAGCTATTTCTCAAGCTTGGATCTCGCGCATGCTACTTAGCAGCTCGAGCATTACAGCTGTATCCTTTGCTTTTCTGTGTTCTTATTTGCAATAAAAATAACCGACTTGATGGAAACAATTGGCTTACATGTTCATAATCAGCTTACTTGCTACTACTAGAAACATCCTTTCTAATTTCTCCTTGAAAATTGACGCTGCACATTGTTATTGAACCAATTTGTTTTATTTAGTTATATTTATGGTTTAATGTGGTTTGTTCCCTTCAGCGAGTTTTACAGAGCGGTAAGAAAACGAAAGCTGTTGATGCATACATTTTATTGTTCTCCCAGTACCATTACCGATAACCGATATGCAACAAAATAAATAAGCTTTTAACCAAATAAGCCTTTGGCGCAAACTGAATAACGGAATTTCCAACTATATGAGAGTGGTAGCCTTCAGCTCACAAATAGTTATTTCTTAACACACAGGGCTTTGTCCGATTTATTGAGCTAGCCTCGGCAAAAACAAGAAGGAGAGGCTTAAGGTGAGCCAACACGATTTTGAGGGCTGATCAAACCTAAAACATTTGACCCGTGATCAGTAGGAGTTTATCTCTGCAGGAAGCGAGCGCCCACGCGAGCACTAAGCTCCAGTGGGTCAGGAATGTTGCGCAATTTAATGTTGAACCCATATTGCCGCGTGCTCCTTTATTCATGAATTCATAGACTATTCAGTTCTGTCTAGGTAAATGGCTCCGCTATTACATACGCGTTGGTATATATAGTGTTAGTTGGTCTCGGTTGGTAGAGATTCCATCTTTGAAGGCACCGACAAGTTAGGAGTTCGGTTACTGATGACAGCTTGAGCAGAACCGTAAATTCCCTGCGAAGCAGAGATTAAGCGTTTAGTGTTCTTCAATACAATTAAAGTCACCCATGAAATGTAACGACATATATATATATATATATATATATATATATATATATATATATATATATATATATATATATATATATATATATATATATATATATATATATATATATATATATATATATATATATATATATATGGTTAGCTGCACCCGGTTTCGGATTTGCCTGTCACTGTGGCCAGCCACAGGACACCTGCGCCTGCAGAGGGACCAATGATTGCGTGCGCTGCACCAGACCATAGCTCCAACCACACACCCCATATCCAGTGTAAGCCACTACCTTATAAATAGTAATGATAAATTTGCACAAGCATATTGGTAGAATTTGGTTATAACTATTCAGCGTTGAGATAAAATGGCTAGTCGATCTGACAGATCACTGACCGCTGCCTGCAAAGTCTCTGGCCGAAGGTTATCAACACCGAGAAAAAGACAACTCTATGTTTCCATACATACCCCGATACAATGAAATAGCAGCTAGACTTTTGCCGCTTTCGGAAGTCCGAAAGTTATCTCTTCGTGGTAAAATATATTATCAGCAAGAACATTTATACATACGATGTGATTCACAATATCTGACGCTAAGGGATTAACAAATTCTGAGTAAAACAGAGAGGAAGAAAGCGCAACTCAAGGCTACATATACGTGGCCAATCAAAAAGTGTCGAGATCAGGTTTAGTCGGTGTTATTTTAAACAAACCCTAAAAACTAACAAATCCATTTGGAGGGTAACAGGCCCACTGGGAGAGCCGAAGGCCGACAACTAACCGGTTGCTCGATGATTGGCTTCGAAGCATAATTCCAACAGTAGGTTTTTTGATCTTGAAGTATCTTACGAGATTTCATGCATCCGTGTAAACAAAGCGTTTTCGAGTTGATAAACAAGCAAGGAGGGCGACTACAGTGTTACATACAAACTTCATATTAAAATTACTCCACTTTTTCGGGTGTGGTGCGGCGCTGTGCATGTAAATAATCATTCAATGAGCACAGAAACAACATTCATACTAAATCAATACATTGGAATTGTAGCAGTATGTCTGGGTATTATATCATGCGCCGTTAACTGAGCGAATATCAACATTTAAAGCGCTAGTGAGATATAACAACTTTGCGGAAGGCTTGCTTACTTAGCTCCTTGACCTAGATTACACAATATCCCCCTAACCCTCAGCAGCCCAAAAAGCATTCAAGGGCTTCAAAGGTACACGCCCGTTTTCATGTCTAATAATGTACGTGGAATACGATAACCCACTTACCTCCTCCTCTTGTGTCGGCCCTCCCGTAGGTTTTGCTAGAATTATTTTGGGTATAAGAAAAGGTAATGTCATTCCACAGACGATCCCAAGGAAATACTAGAATGGAAATGAGAGAGAAAAATGTTGCGGTTCCATCGATCACTACCCATTAAGTGTAAAGGTAGCAGTATCGTGCGAAAGACAGAAAAATAGATTCCAATTGCTACCTTTAACATGTTCAGGTCGTGCAGTACTTCTCATCTGATAGAAACGTCCTCAGCTGATAAGCAAGTATTTGACATAAACTTGCAAAACTGTAAGCTCTTAACTTTAGGTTGTACGCTTTGTTTTGATTTTCTTTATTCCGCAGCTAACTGCAATCACATAACAACAACCAAAATTTTTCTGCGTATTTCTCCATACAACGTCCATTTTTCAAGCTACGCAACAACAAAATATTTTTCACATGAAATGAATAAGTAACATTCAGAGTTTCTTGCTTAGAATCCCATCCAAATAAGGTTAGAGTTTTAGACGTAAATCCGTGCCGCAATTACGGGCCGCTGCTGTTGTTGAAATATGTCTACGATAAGTTTGGCTTAATGTAATTCGTTACACCATAGCTCTTTGGCGGTCACATAAATATCGCACACACTCTTCGTCCGTATCATGGCACTGTTGCTGTCAACATGATCCAACTTAAACTTTATGCGCCTGAAACCTGGTGCTCAAAGCGGAAAATGTCTCTATCAACTGACAAATATTTTACAAGGTCTCACAGGTGCGATTTGACTATTGTTCGTATAACACTTAATATCTGTTCTACGGTAGGAGATCAGCGATCACGATGTGCATGCACACTTGGCTACTGTGAACAAGTAGTATATGTCACCGCGAGAGCAAGACAGCAAATTGGATTAGTGTACAGTAGTTTTTCTATACATGATCCAAAATTTCACGGTATATCTACCAGTTGTTCGATCCACACTGGAATAGGGTTTGATGGTAAATAGCAGCTCAAAGAAGCGAGACCGCATCGCATTGGAAAAAGTACAGGGCGCATTCACAAAACGCTTTTTAGGTGCTCTTTAAAATGCACGACGTGAAAAGCTCAAATTAGACTTGCTCTGGCTACGGCACATAAAAGATGACCCAGTTATAATGTTCAATTTCTTACATAACAATCTGCCCGCTCCCAACCTCAACATGACATTGATAAAACCAATCGTCCACAACACACGACATAAACAAAACTCATTGGAGGAATACAAGTTCAGAAGCTACAAGTTGGTGACCATTTTATTAACAGGGATGTGAGAGTCTGGAACAAGCTGCCTACATTTTGAACACATGTTTCGTTAAAGTTTCGGCAAGTTCTTGTCTGCACAAAACGTGATTATACAGTTGGATTTTCACATTACAAAATCCCAAGCGCACGAGCAGGATCCAGTTTTCAAATGACCCAAAACATTTTTAGCAAAAATACTATGTCCTCTAACTTAGCTGTCCTACAGTAACGTTTGTGAGATAGAGGTAAGAGGACACCGAGTATCACTGCGTTTCAGCAAACCATTTATTATATCTTCGACGTTATTATCTGTTCCGAATTTCGATTCTGCTGATTAAACTTTGCTCAACGTTCTGTGTATATAAACATTTATCTTATCCTGATTTAACGTGCATGTTTCGCATCATAGTAACTGAAAGTTTGTTTATTGATTAAGATAATACTGAAAATATTATTATGGAATAAGAGCTGCATTTGAGTTGGTCGAGATGCGTTTTAACTACAGGTATGAAATTACCTTGTATACCTTGGTTGTAGCATATATGCTACATTGGCTTGCACAATGTTAGGAATACGCTTATCTCATTTATTTTCGTTATTTTCATCGACCACCCGTTTACCTTCGGATCAGATGATTGTGCTCGGAAACGACATCTTGTCATGACTATTGATTCTGCGAGCGTGAAAATCATGAACTGGGCATTTACAATCGCCAGCAATAGTAAGTTTCCATCGATTCAGTTAAAGTATTACAGGATGGCGCTACTTGCTTTGACAATTTGTGGAAGGAAAAACAGAAGAAGCGAGCTGAGCCCCCATTTAAGCGTTTCATGCCCCGGACTTAGCAATCGGAACGTAGCTCAGCGGCATTTAACAAGCAGGTAACATATACTTCATGTATTGCTTAATTGTGAAACGTGAAATTGTAAAGTAAATATCAAACGAATTGTATTGAATTAGGTAAACGTTAAACATAATTATTTAGGATAAAACCGTAGTATACGCGCAAAACCGACATACGTAATTTTCATAAGGGTTTATTCAATTGGTATTAAACGACAGCATTTTTTTAATTGTGAGCCACTCAAGCAATATTGAACAAGAAATCTACTACTGGGAACATTTGGTAATTTACTGGGATTTTTAGATCACTGTTGTGCACGAATAACAAGTTGGTGGCAGATACTTTAAAACAGAAACTTAGAATGCTGCCTTTGTGGTGCTGGTAATAAGATTTGTGTTCCACCAACGCAGTTCGCCTACATTTGTTGAAACAAGGGTGAAATGTTACCCTCTTTGTGCTGCTAAATTTTGCAGTTAACTTTAGTCAATGCGAGGTGAAGTTGAAACTCATTGCCTCGTCTACCAACGTTTCTGTTATTTTAACCTAGTTAGGTTGTAAGCATACAAATATTTGAACCCTTTTTCCCCATTCTATACATTTGGTAATTCCAACCTGTCATCACTTCCCTTTATAATTTTTGTACTATTAAGCAACCTCAGTCGGGACCTGGAACACTAAATCGCATAGTTTGCGGCGTCATAAGTTGTACTAGATGGGTTCGAATATGAAAGTGTGGATCATGTTACTTACCCGTATGACACTGTTCTTTGTAGACAGGTTGCCATTCCAGGTGTTGGTGAGAAAATCCTGACAGCATGGGTGTGCCATGAACTTAATGCTCTGACCTTCTGCAGCCAGTTTAATCACAGAGCTTCTACCGTAGTACATAAGTTCGTGGTTAATGATTAGCTGTGTCCGATGTTCATCTTCACGATAGCATTCATTCAGCACACCCTCTGCTCGTTCCTGAAAGTTTCTGTTTAAGGGATGTAGAAAGCAAGAATTGAATCCAATTAAAATGTTTGCTCAAAATAGTTAATTGCCGATTGTCAAGCTTTTGGAATACATTGCCTGATGTAAGTCAAATTGAGGTAAAACCCCTTTCTAAACCCCATGTGAGTGGTGTAAACAATGCAATCTTATGCGGAACATGCTTACAAACTCGTTATCTCTGCGCGAAAGCGATGATGAATTAAACTTCTTTTCCCTGTAACCAAACGGACGAAAATTGCAATCGCTTATCTTATTACTTTTATTTTGATTACAGTTGCTACTATATGTTATGGTTGCTGATTTCGCACTGTTTCAACTTTGCATTTGTTTAGAAAAATTTCTCGACGCAATGGAAAACAAATTGGCTGTAACATGCTTTAGGTAAAATGGAATAAGGAAGCTATAAGTCGATAAACGCTGCCTTATTTCCGTGTCATTCGATGGTTGCTTGTGCCTATGTTGTCGTAAATTAAAGTAAGCAAAAATGAAGAAAAAATGTAAGACATAAAAGTTGAACCGGTTAAACAATCTTTCACAAAACTTTCCACAGCGCTAGGATGCAAACTAGTTGCCGAAATGAACGCTCTCCGTCGACCTTTATCATCTCAACCCATGCTAGCCTTGGGTAGTAAATTTAGCCCATGTCGGTGAAATAAGTGAACTGTAGCAAATTTGCAGCTAGTTTATATGAGAAATATCGGTGAGAGACCCAGAACCTCATCTTTCGTTGTTGATTAATAATACTCGACTAGAGTATACAATTTCTAAGAATCAGTATTTTCATCAATGACTATGATCTGTGCAAATAATGCTCAATACTTGACAAAAACCTCCAACAGCCCGCACATTCAGATTTCAAGAGAGCCTACATTACGTATTATTCAGTTGTCAAATTAAACATAACAAACTACTTCCCGTAGTGATCTTTTCTGGAAATTTCAGCGCATAAATGTAATATTTGCATTAGTCAGTCCCGTTTCAATAAAATTTGCAGCACACATCACTATACTAACGCGGTTCATTGTCCGTTTTGAAGAAGATATATCGCTCCAATTTTAATAGTGTCACAGTATTGGCAAGCGCAAATGATAACATTCCATTATATGGTAGCATTTGAGGTGAATCCAACCAAAATAATAAATGTAAGAAAACATAGAAGTACAGTTGTTAGTGATAATCATTGTAGGCGTTACGGACAGGTTCTCCAGAAGCAGCCAGGGGCACCTGTCTTGAATTAATGTCTAACAGCTGAAAAATCAACAACCAGCTTCTTTATTAATTTTGCATTCCTTCATTATCATAAATTATTAATGCATTCCAGTACAGACGATAAAGAGTTTTTCACCTCCCGCGCAATTTGGCGTCCTCAGTTGTGAGTACCACTGGTGCCGTCGCACTTCCGCCATCAGCTAGGGTACATTTAGGGAAAGCGGTGCTAAATTGCGTCTTTTCAAATATGGTTAAGAGCATAGCACACCTCATAGTATTTGTCGAGCCCAAAAGTTGAGTAACTCCACCCATCTGAAACATTTTTGGCCTCGATCAATTGATCATTTCAACGGCTTTCCAACGAACTGTCATTATTTCAAATGCGACATTGCTTGAAGAAGCTATAGGTCTCAAGGCAACTTCACCCGGCACGACACATAGGCTTAGCCATGAAAATTCTCAATCACGCCATCGTGTAATGTGCGTCACGTTCACGCTAACGTATTCGAATGACACGTAAGAGGACAGTCTGCAAGCACACAACTGCAACCTGAACACTGAGACATAAATGAAAATGTCAATAACCGAAAGACTTATTAGAAGAGAGGGTGAGTCCTTCAAACGCTTCGTAAATTTCCTCACCAAGCGAAGGCCAGTGTGCCACAGTCAAAGACCTAGGCCGGTCATGTAACAAACTTGTTCCCGTGAGGAATTCCTTGTCGTAACTACTGCAAGAATTTCACGCGTGATGCACCAGAATCAAACCAAGTCAGGACAAGTAAATAAACCAAACAAGTTCTCTATGGTTCAAGGATAAATACATATCCATACGACGGATAAAAGTGTGCTCCTATAATCTCTACGGTTAGTCTGATGGAAGATGGACGATTAGCGTTCCTTCACCTACCGTGGCTCGCATTTAATGAACGCCAGTTATATACGGTTGTTGTCTCCAACCTCCAATACCCATCCAATGTTTAGCGCAATTCGCAACATGCTGCTGCGCGCGCAAAGACATGCATTTCACCTTAGTGGTGCGGACGTATGGAATTCTCGGCAGACGAGTGGTTTAGTGCATGGCTCAGCTGAGAAAAATCCTAACCTCTAAAGACGCACCGACATGAGGCTATTTTAAACATGAGCGAGATGAGTACCGACAGCCACAACGTGTTTCCGGCCTTCGTTAGCTGTCAGCTACATACGCGCTGTGCTGAAGGTCATAGCTAACAGTAGGCGTTGGAACGATCGATGGTTAACTGTGTGTGTCTCGCTGGCTACGCAGCGACGTCCGTCTAAGCACATAAAAGTGCAGCGTGAATGTGCGCACGTGATGGTAGCTCAGCTGAGGACGAGGTTAGGCATTGCAACTTGTCAACGTTATTGAACCGCAGGTAATGGAGCACGAGCAGACAATGCAGTCGGGATCATATAACGTGCCTGGTACTCAGCGCGCGTTGACTATTCGGCTGTACGGTGAATGCGGTTTAAACGCCGCATCAGCTTCAAGAAAATACGATGCAATGAACGCAGGAATGCGTCACGTCATTGACCGGTAGGTGCTTAAACTAGTGAAGAAGTTCGAGCAAACTGGGAGTGTGCGTGACATGAAGAGAACCGGAACGCCTCCCATCACCACGGACGTCTGTACAGCTTGCGCTGTAGTCAGTGAAGTGTCAAAAAGTCCCGATCTCAGCATTCGTCGGGTCGCACGGCACTGTGACACGACCCGATATTCGGTACACCGAATATTGCAGGAAAGAAGGTTTGGAAGATTTCGTGCACTTCAAGTGCAGGATTTGAACCCCTGTGATCCGGAGAAGCCGCATGCATTTTGCCGCTAATATCTGGATTACGAGGATATTTGTTCAGTTCTCTTTACAGATGAGGCATTGTGTCATCTGCATGTAACAACGAAACATTACTATTGGGCTACCAGCAACCCACGAAAATTTACCGCATCGCGTATGCACCATAGTGTGGAACTAAGGGTTTGGGCCGGATTAACAAGCTAGAAAATCATGGGCCTATATTTTTTTCCGGGAATGTGACCGGTACGTTGTTGTTTTGGAGTACTAAAGCCTTATCTTTTCCTAGCGTCGTCGTAAATGGAAATGCTGCAGAGATTTGTGCTTCCCCAGTTAGAGATCGAAGGGACATGCAGTACCAGTTGGTGGCAGCAGGATGGTGCACCTGCACGGGGGTACTAGCCTCAATCTCTACACTTGCTTCTGTTCCCACACCATCAGTGTTATCCAATGTCAAATTCATAGCAAAACCTTTTGAGAAAGCTACTATCCTTGCATACACACAGCTTTCCTGGATTGGATAACCCTGGCGCTAAGGCACTACAGGCAGCAGCCATTCAACTCGCCCAGCCACTTGTCGGATTCTTTCAAAGAAGTCCGTCTGATCCTACCAATTACCGTCCGGTAACATCTCTCTCTGCCCTTTCCAAAGTCAGGGAGGCGTTAATCGCTAACTTAATAATGGGCTACTTGGAAAACGTAGGTGATGCATTATTAGGATGGGTTGTTACATTTCTCCATGAACAGCAGTTCTATGTTAGAGACCGAACATCTTTGCCCGACCCTACTCGAGTGGAGTGCGACGATCTTGCGAGAGCCATTACCTCAAAAAGTTTGCTTTCCGGATGACGTTAACAGTTGGCCGGCGATAAAGAGAATGGACGACCACACGATCCTCCATGTGGGACCAAGATGGGACCTGGCATTGACCGGTGAGGAATTCACTGTCATTACATGTGAACAAGTAACACATTATTCACATCCGCCATAGACAAGCCTATCTAGAATATTGGGGCATTGGACCTGCAGACGAGCCCTCATGAACTCGAACTCGGTGTGCTGGTGCAGGACGACTTCGGTTATGCTAGACAGTCGGGATCCAAAAGTGGTAACAAGCATGTTGTTAGCTTGCGGATGGCATTCGAATTTTTGATTCATTCATCTTCTCTCTGCTGCTCCATGCGCACATGCGTTAACAAGTCGTATACGCAATCCAGGCTTGGCACGCTTAGTTAAACCGTGACTTTGCATAGCTCGAAACTCACCATGATCGGGCAACAAAATACTTCAAGGGATTGTGCAAACTTTCGCACCACTAGCGACGAAAAACACTCAATGATCAGTAGACGCTACAGATGGCTACGTGGAGACTTTATATTAGTCTACCAGATACGTAAAGACCAAACGTACACATGTTGTCACTTACTGCAACTCATCTCAAACACCATATTCAAAGACAACCGCCTGAAACTGAGTCAACCTTATCACCGCATCCTACTTCACTAGCTACATAGCTAGGGAATCAAAGATCTAGTGCTTGGTTGGATTGTCAGCTTTCTTTAATAACGAAATCTTCAAGTGTGCGTAAATGGATCACTCTCTAACCAGACTGAGGTACAATGTGTTGTTCCACAAGGCTCAGTGCTTGGATCGCACTTATCCCCGGTGTTTCTCAACGACATGGCAGAAGTTATCTCCTCCAATTTTCTGTTTTTCGCGATGAGAATAACATGTGGCGGACGATAAATAGCAATGAAGATCACGATCTACTCCAACATGACCTAGATTGCAATTATGAATGGTCATAGAGGAAACTGCTTCATTTGAACATAGCCCAAGTGCAAGGTGATCCATCTACGTCACCAGCCGGTGAGCTCTTACAAACTTAGACAGCACACCTTGCACATGACCTCTCAGCAAAGTGATCTCAGTGTACTGGTACAGGAAGATCTCGGGTGATCGAAAACAG